GGGTTCTATTCAAAGTCAAAAGAATTATAAACTTCCTCAAGATGATCAAATTCCTCTTCCATGAAGTCTGGTCTTTGGACGTGTTGGTCTTCGAAGAGAAGATCAGCAGCTTCTCGACTTCCCCGAGTCTTTTGGTCGTTTTTACGAATGACCGAAACTATCCTTTCTCTAATGGAGCTTTCAACTGCTTCCATGTTGATGTCTGGAGACTGAAGCCCCAGGAGAGAACAGCATTCCCCTTGGAAGTTAAGGTCTTTCGAGGATAGGATCAAACGGGCAATCGTTTTTGAAAGTTCAGGGGCGTAACTGCAAATCTGAGGAGACAAAGGTGACATTTTAGAAGTACAAAAAAGTCAATATTAATAATAAAAAAAAGGCTCTCATTCTAACAAATGAACAAATGCAGGAAAAGGTACACGAGAATTACCTTCTGGGCATGCTGGCTGAGAAGAACACCTTGATTCTTTTCCTTCAATTCATCAAGAGCTTGCTTGACAGCTCTTCTGGTAAGACTTCGATCATTTTGACTGATTTGTGAATTCAATAGTTTCACCGTGGGAGTAAGTTAAGACAAATACTGAAAATGCAATCACAACGACAAATAATACCGAGACCATTAAGAAATGAGGTGAATTGACAAATATGGCTTTGAAATTGGCTTGTCTCCCATTGATGTCAACAAGCCTGATATCCTCTTTCTAGGCGATATTTAATAATTCCCCATCTTTTTGTTAACTAAATATAGTAAGTGTACATTTGATTCCAGGCATCCGAGGTGATGTTAGTTGTACATTAGATAGCGAAGGATATTGTTTGTCATAACAATGGATGACAATGTCAATGTGGACAGATGGGGGCAAATTTTCCCATTCAAGCAATGCACAACCATCCTGGTCCTTAATGTTCTTCAGAGTCAATCCGTAGACTTTCCAATTGATGCCTTTCAATGCATCTAGTGATGATTTGGAGACAGTGTAGGGTACAAAGTCTCTATAGAAGAGGACCTAAAATATTAAATGCTCTAATCACCATATGTTTTTATCAGGAGATCCAAATAAAGCAGCGGAAGGCCATTTAACAACATTATTGGTAAGACTGGGTTTCCTGAATTTAACCTGTGTTTCCATTTCATGTTCCATTAGGCAAGATGGAGTGGCTAGCTCAGATAATTCACTAATAATAACAACAGCTTCCACAATCAGTCTATTAAGGTTTCCTGAGCAGCTAGCAATTCCAGTGCCAACCTTCAAATTCTCCCTGGAAAATAGGTTTTGTTAATATATTTGACCAAAAAAGGAAAACACAGCTGGGACAGGGTAAATTTAATGTACTGCACACAGACAGAATTATTATGATTCAGTATTTTGGAGTATAATTGAAGTGAAAGGCACTGCAAGTTTCCAACAAACTAAAAATCTTTACCACTTAAATAAATTCTAAGTCATTTAAAAAAAAGGACCAAGTAGCATGCATACACTAATAACAAACAGAAAATAACACTACATTATTCAGAACATACCCAGTCGAAAAGCAAGGACAAACACTATTCAGTTTATTTCGGTGCCTGTGAACATAATCCTCGAGTCCTGATCTTAGGCTGGTGATACTTTCTTCCGGAAAAGGTAACGAGCCACACTCTATGGCCATAATACAACATTCAACATGTGATCCTGGCATGTTATTATAATCAACCAACAGTTCAACAGCAACCATCTGTAAAGAAGCATGAATAATCAATAACTAGGAACTAACATAAGCAACTATCAAGTACATGGCTATAGAAGAAGCCATTTGTGCTCAACAAGACAAGGATTACAACCATCTAAGAAGTCTGATATTCAATATTTCGGGAAAAGAACAAAAATACTTTGTATATCTAAAAAATCAATGTTTTCTTCTAAAGGAAGGCTGTGAAAAGCAATTCATATGAATGCTTTTCATGGATTGCACCGCAAATTACACTATATATGATTATAATGAGACTTACAAAGAGACCATGTAAGATTCTTTGTTGTACATCTCATAGAGTTCAAAGTTCGATTAAAAGACCTTCCCAATACAATGTGCTATCCATACTCCAAAATTCAAATATTAACTCCTAATATCATGAAATCCTGTATTTCATAAACACCTAAACATAATATATAAAGCAATTGAAGGAACTTACAGGGATTTTTAAAATGAGCATCTGCAAAAAATTGTCACGGAAGCTGAATGTTAATAGTAAGTCAATGCAGCAAGTATTGAACATGAAGGACTAGACTAGACTGAAAATGACTTCAAAGGTTTGGAGAGTGCTTGGACATGATACCAACCTTCTTAAAAAATAAGGTTAGATCTTCCAGTAAATGATCAACACTTTCAGATGTTGATATTGATACTTCAGTGCCACTGTAAGGTAAAAACAAAATTTATAATATAGTTGAACAGTAAAAATAATAATGCAGGGTAAGGGGAGCATTATGCCTGAATTGTGCACCATTTTTTGCTGTTGAAGGTAGCTTTGTCAGTCTTTTAGAATAAATAGCATCTTTCATGTTGAGGTTTAAGTGATGCATCTCTCTGTCAGAAATGCCTGCATCGATTCATTTTTTATGTATAAGATAGGGACCACTGCAGCTTCCATAAACCAAAGCACTTGATCTAAATTTCCAATTCACCATGACATCAGAAGTTACAGTTTATCACTAAAAAAGACCTAAATTAAATTAAGAGGCGGGCATTATGAGCAGAAGATACGCAGATTGCCTGCAACACACAGCTCTCTAAACACCGTATAATAGAGCAAGACACACACATTTATTGACAAAAGCCATTTCATCGTAGATAGTTTCAAACCAGTCGAAATGAGTCAAGACCAAGGTCATAACTCACAAAGTTAATATTAAATTTAATTCTAGTGCCAAATGCCTTTTGACAGTTCCATACCCACTCTAATACTTAGATTTGCATACATACCGATAACTTATTGCTTATAATTCAATGACAGGTCAATACTTAAACAATATGATAGTATGGGTTGTTGGTACATTACCTCTCATACCAAAACAAATTATTCAGACATAGGTATGAAACTTACTGGTAGTTGAAATAGACATCAACCCATCTGAGAGAGAGAGAGAGAGAGGGGTTAACAAAACAAAAGTGACATTTGTCATATAAAAGTCTAAAAATGATACCACTAGAAATTTTTAAAATAGAATAAATGAAAGCCATGGAATTTCTTTACTAACCCCATTTACCAGCCAGGTCATTTTGGTACTTCAGATGTTGGTATTCCTCCAGACTACTTCCAACACCAGTATCTGAAACTGTTTCACCAGTAAAGCCAGAAATTGAATCGATTTTTTTACCTTGGGAATTTACAGTAATGTAACATTATACCCACAACATTTTTCCGAAGTTCAATTCCATTCATAGAGAGCTGTTGAACACTGAAACTTCAATCTCAACTAATTCAAACCTAACAGCCTGAAGTAATGGATCTATACATGCATATTAAAATTCAATCTGAGAATAACAGATTCCTGCATTTCTGTTCTTCAAATCAATTGTTTGTTTCCTTCCGTTTACGCATCAGAGATAGTACCAATTTAACCATACAAACACACTTCAGAGCGAGCGAGCGAAAGAGAAAGAGATGACCTGAGATTCCGACGAGAGGAGGATTGAGGTGCAGAGAAGAGGACAG